CCCATTATTATAATCTTAATTATATTGGGAGGTAATTGACAAAAAATAATTTCCTTCTATTTTAGGTAATAAAACATTTTTGGAAATTATATTTTCAGCCTTTACAAGTTTATGGGAACAACGCGATAAGTAAACACACCTACAAGATGAAACATTAATGTTATATAACCAAATGATTCCAATTTACAATGGCTGACTTTTCCAATAGAGAAGGTGGATTTTCATCATTAATTTCAATTGAAATTGCTATAATTAAGTATCTGAGATTCTTCCAATAAGAATTTTAAAATATTTAAATGCAAGTGCTACAAATTGAGAAATTAATGCTGTATTTGAAATTACATTTTTCTGCATCAGGAATTAGATGGCAGTAAAAACAAACAAGGATTTAAGATTTTAACACAGATTCTTTTGTTAGACAGAGTGTTTTAATCACTGTATATGATGTTGTAATTTCTCAATGTTTCAAATATATACCATCAGGCCTTCCTCATTTTGTATGCTGCATTTTAGAATGTTACTGAATTTTATTGTTGGTGGGGATATATGCATCCCCTTTATACTTAGTATATGCAAGGAGGCTAAAACTGGGGATGCCATTTATGAGAGTGGATGATTCCTACCAGCCTAAAACTCAACAATAATTCAAAAGACAACAGACACTTGAGAAAGATCAGAGAATATACATGATGAAAATGTGAAAAAGAGAAGGTTATTAGTCTTGATAATGATATACAATGACATAAAGGTTGTTTTGGCTACATAAAAAACGTTCAAATAGTTTTAATTTGTAACTCATTTCTTTTTTTGTAATAAATGCTAGTGAGGAGATAAATAAATTGGGATTTGATGAGAGAAATACAAAATTCTGCCCAAGAGAAAGGTTACATCATGTAAATACATCTCTTACATATTTTAAATGGATTTTTGAATAAGACATTTCTTATTACTATAAATGTTATTTTTAATGGGTACAAATAATTTGAAATTTTTTATTTTCTTAAATAGTGAAATTAATAACTAGCCTAGATCAAAGTGGGACTTCTTGATTTAAGCTAGTTACCGGTAATTTCAATATTTAAGAAAATAAAATATGTGTAAACTCAAACATGGACACCCACTAAAAATAAGGTTTATAGTAATAAGAATCTCTCTCTCTCTATATATATATATATATATATATAATCTTCTCGAATGTGACTTACACTTGCTTTTCACCTTTTCTGAACCTAAGATTGTTTTTCCAGAAGAGGATGTCTTTCTTTTTTGCTAAATAGTCCGAAGGAAATTAGAAACTTTATCAACACTGCCAAATGTCATTCACCAGATTAGTGAAAAGCACCCTCAAATTGAAATCTGACTTGCTGATAATGAAAGACATTCCCCGCTTCCCACAAAAAAAATGTTTGTAGGTAGGTTTTTTTCTTCTATTTGAAATTTTGGTGTAATAAAGTCTGTTTGCTAATAAAAATAAAAAATATATCAACAATATTATGTATCTGATGGATTAGATAATTTTGAATATAAATTATAAAGATAGTTTCGTAAAATAGGCTTAATAACCTACAAAAATTCCTTTTACAAATCAATGAATTTTTTCTGGATTTATATCAAACTATCATCAAAGTGTGAGAAAAAGTTCTGAAAAGGCCTCCACTTTACTCACTTCTCTAAATCAATATTATATTTAGTTATTGAAATACAGATGTTGGGAAGTTAAGTGGCCTGAGAACTTTTCAACATCTAACTTTTTAAAGAATTCCCAACATTTCCATTTTCTGACTTCTGGGAAGCTGAAGTAAAATAGTTGTTCATAAAATTATATAACTTTATACTTTATCCACCATCTTTCTTTCATTCTTTTTTTCTTTTTTAATACATGGAGAAAATGGGAAATTTTGCATGTAACAAAAAATTTAAAAATAATTGCAACATTAGTACTTTTTATATTGATCTTTTTATGTGTACAAAATAAATGAAATTCTTTTTACTTACTTGTAAATTATTACTTATTGTTTCAGTTTGTTTTTCATGTCTTTGTCAAAGGCTTTTTCTTTTTTTAATAGATCCTCTTGTTGAAACTCATTTCACTACTGAGAATTTTATTCCAGAAACTAACATTATTTAAAATTTAGTGTACAAGAAACTATAAGCAAGAATGATCCCCTAACAAGCTCTGAAATAGGCAATTTTTAAAAGAATTTAATAAACTTGAAAAAAAAAAAAAAAACAGTATTATATACAAAATTAAAATAAAACAAAAAAAAACGAACCTTTCACTATAGCTAAATTCGATTTCCCTTGAAATAAGAATAATTGGACATAGCAACATTAGTCCACATAGAACATTCTGTACCTTTAAATAATGATAGCATATGTCTAATTCAGTTCATCTGATTATTAGGAGCAACCATATTTGAACAGACCCAGTTAGAGTAACTTAATGATGAATATATAATCAGCTAATTGCAATATTTTTCTAAAAGAAGCAAGTCTTTAGTAGTTAACTGCCAACATCATGGCATAATATGACATGAAATGAATGAGTCATCTCTTATGAAATTAGGTGGGTGAAAAGCTGAAGTCTTGCTTTAGCGTGACATGACTTACCTCCCTTACATGAAAATTTTGCTACCGGTTAACAGGTCTTTAAGTTTCTCATCCTCTCCCAAGCTTCACTAGCAACAAATAAAACATGATAAATTTTCATCCTGCCCTGAATGTTGTGGGGAAAATGATTCATATTGATGGATTAAATGATAATTAAGGGAAAAATAATATTATGCTTCAAGATATTTTTCATGGCATACTGACTTTTTTCCGTGGTAATTTTTAATTCATATTTTTATAAAATAGTTTGTAATGTTGAGGAGAAGCAAATCATTAAACTCTATTGGCGAAATCATAGACAAGAGTCAAAGATCAGATAAGAAAAATGTTGAATAATATAAAACAGTGTACAAGTTATAGAGATATCACAAATTTGAAAAAAAAAGTCTTTAGACAAGCACATAAATATTACATTAGACATATAACCCATTGCCTGATAAATTTTCTTCAAAAGATGATTCTGAACGTCTAAATATTTTGTCCTACTGTTGTCAATCTTCAGGAGCTCCTGGGATCAAATCCCATCTCTGTACCCACCCCCCAAAAATCCACGAGGCTTGTGACAAGTATATTGGCAACACATATCTCTTCAGTTTTTATTTACAGAAAAAGAAATAGAAGTAGAAAAAATCTTTGTGAAAATCCATTTTCTTTGTAATGCAATTGAGTGAATTCTTCAAAGCCAGATCAGCCAGAAGCACCCAGAAGTTTGTCTGCATCCAAATGTCAGTTATATTCCAAAATCCTAAAAAAATAAGCAAAACATTTCACTGGCTATTGGTTTTGAACCTAAGTTGTTTCATTTATGTCAGGCTTTATATCATGAGAACACTAAATCAAGAGAAATGGGTTACACTTGATTGTTCCAGCAGTACACCTCCCATGAATGCATAAAATAAAAAATGTTTTTTGACTAATATTTTACACATACACAAATATATTTATCTGAAACAATCTAGTATACCATATTCATTTATATTTAACTTATTTATACTTTCAATATAAAAAGTTATTATCTTATCATATGTAAATATGGTTTGATGTCGACAAAATTCTGAATAGTTCTGCAACTCTTAACCAGAAGAGTTTTAAAAATATCTTTTTTTAAAGATATTTTTAACTGATGACTTTAAAAGTTGTTTTTTTTCACAAAAAAAAAAAAAAAAAACAAATTGCTTTTCAAATAAAAAAATCTAAAATATTTTTGTTCATTTTATGACACCGGTTTCAAAAAAAAAAAAAAGTGAAAGAATTTTTAATAAGTACCAGAGTGAAGGGTGATTTCTTTTTTTAAGGAAAACCCTGCCCTTGCAGTTCAAAATTTAAAAGTTAAAAAAAAAACCAATTGCATGAATATAAAATAACAAAATTTCTTGAAAATTTAAGACATCTCAAGGTGTCAGCATTGACAGAAAATGTTTTTTTTTTTTTTGAAAGAAAACCTGGAAGTCATGAGGTAAAAGGTCAAATTATACTTAGAATTCAGAGGTAACATAAATATCTTTTCTCTGTTATTGATGTTTCCTTTCTTTCTTTATCTTCTTTTATTTAATTATGCCCCATTTCCTCGTAACTCAAATGTTTTTCATCTTTATCAAGACCAAACAAACAATTGTGTCTTGATACAGGAGCCAAATTAAAACATAAAATAAAATAAAGGACATTATAACCCCATTAATTATTTAGGCCCACTCCTTCCCAACACCCTCCCCATAAATTCTGAAAGATTCTTTCAACTGTTTTTTATCTTAGCAGTTTATTTGAAGTAGCTTCCATATCAAGTTTTCTGCTCGGTACAACAAATACTGGCTTCAGGCATAAAGTCTTTCATTGCTGCTTAAAAAAGGAAAAAAAAAAAACAACATTGTAAACTATCAGCAAATGATAAGCCTTGTAATTTTGGAAGAGGTACTCAAATGTGTCGAAGTATATTTCATTTCCAATTTAAGGTTTTTCTTTAAGTCACAAGGAACTTTTAAAACTTATAACCCTGTTGTTCAAGAGATGATACTTCATGGTTCATTTCCTGTTTCTTTTTCAAAAATTATTTATCTCCATGGTTGTATTAAAAATTCCATATCAAAATGGACAGAGATAAAAATGCAAGACAAACAGAGAAAGAGAGAATGAAAGAGATTTCATTTGAAGAAATTTATAAGATTTTTCTTGAAAAAAAAAATTTTTTTTTACAAAATCATTCTTTTGAGAAAACTCTTTTAAAATTTTTTAAATCTAGACATTTTATTAAAAAAACAATTATCATTTTTGTTTTGTCAAATGTTTTTTTCTTTTAATATTTCTCTTTTCTTTTCTCTCTCTCTCTTTTTTTTTAACAGAAAATATCCAACCATTTTCCATCTCCCCCACCCCCATAGATTGAATTCTGAATCTCAATTGCGGTCAGAACTAATACTAAATTTCTGTAAGCTCTCAGTGTCAATGGCTGGACTCTCTGGTTTGAGTGCTTCATCTGAGACAGCAGTGGCCATTGGCTGATTCATATCAAAGGTCAGCTCATCTAAGAATGTATCCTGAATACCAGAAGCTGTCTCCTCAGAGTCAACACTCTCATGACTTGTAGTGGACCAGTTACGTGACTTCCGATAGTTGAGGTGTGGTGGTACACCACCCTCACCACTGTCAACAAAAACGGGCATGACTTGTTGATTATTGTTTGATGTACTTGTGTTACTGCTGTTGCTCGGATGTTCCTCGAGGTCAGTGCTTTCACCACTTGCTGTTGACCAGAAGCGAGGCCGGCCACTGCTACAACTGCTGCGGTCAGCCTCTATTCCCTCTGATGACGAACCCCCAGCAATGAAGGCTTGCTGCTTCTGTTGTTGACTGCTGCTGCTGCTTCCATTGGTATGCTCTGAGTCAATGCTATCTGCACTGGAAACTGAACATGCACGTGCTGACTGGTCAGGCGAATCTGTTGCATCTCCGCTTGACAGTGAGCCTTTTGGTGTTGGGGTAGTACTGGCTGCAGTTGTTGTATCTGGCTCCTCTTTACCCTGGAAAGGAGGGTACTTCTTTTTCGAGGAACGCTTCAGGTGGATGCGCATGTGTCGGGTAATCATGTCCCTTCGGCAGGCAGCGTAGGGACACTGTGGACATTTGTATGGCTTTTCCCCAGTGTGAGTTCTCTGATGTGTGTTCAGGTGGTCACTGCGGCTAAACACTTGGCCACAGATACGGCACTCATAAGGCTTGAGCCCTGTGTGCAAACGCATATGTCGGGTCAGCATATCGCTACGGGAGAAAGCACGGTGACACACCTTGCAATAGTGTACTTTGTTGTTGTCTCCCGTGCGCACCGTCTCCGTGGGGAGATGCTTGGCCATGTGTTTGGTCAAGTTGTCATACGAGGGAAACACCTGACCACAGACAGGACACAGGTACGTTATATCCGAGTCAGACAAGGCGCGTCGTTCGCGGGGATCCTCACTGCTCCCACTACTACTCAAGGGACTGTATGGGTGTCGGCTACCAGCGCCAGAAGAAGGGGGTTGGGATGGAGACAAAGGTAGTGGACTGCTTGGGTAGAATGCTCGAGGCGAGACAGGGAGTCGTTTGAAGTCAGACAAACCGGCAACCATTGAAGGTCGAGGTGGGAATGTGAAATGGTAACTGGGAGAGCGTGGACTAGGTGAGACAATCTCTGGATCTGAGTGAGTGCCTTCCAAGGGAGAAGGCAGGTTGAAATTGAATACATGTCCACCTTCAGGCACAGAGCAAAGAGGTGACCTTGGAGAGAGAAGATGCTTTGAGTAAAAGGGTGGGGATCTAATGTATGATGAAGGAGACAATGTATATGGTTCTGGTGGAGGGGGGCACATGATTTCAGATATTGACATGGGTGGGCCCTTTGATGGGGAGGTGTCATATGTCCGACTTGACAAGTCTAATGGCTCACGTTGCAGTCCAGTAGAAGAGGACGACGATGAGGACGACGAGGAGGAGGAGGAAGAGGAGGAAGAAGAGGAATTTGATGATTGCGGCTGCTCACCAGCCGAACCAAGTGTGTCCTTATTTGGCTTGGTGTCAGCAGTTGAAGATTTGTTATTGTTATCTTCTGGATTTTCAGCAGGCATGAACACATCGTTATTGTCCTTGGCATCACTTTCATTCATGTCCATTTGACAGCCACCACTGTCATCCTCAATACTTGATAAGTAGCGAGCCTGCAAAATCTTTTTGAAGTTTGCATGGCGTGGTTTTGGTTTGTCCTGCACCCGACTGCTGTCATCGTCAGTCCGCCACTGTACACCCGATTCAGTTCGATTTGGTGACCGATCTGAATCTGAAGATCTGGCTTCAATGCTTGCGGACTCTGATGTTCCGATCCGAAGCATCTTAGGAGAAGTTTCTGCAGATATTCTGTCACGCCATTTGAAATGTGATGGAGACTGTGGCGATAGGCCTTGGTAATCCTCCAGCTCATGTTCTTTAGCAGGTGATGGTTCCCGACTGCTAGCCCCACCTCCGCTATCCTCCGACACATCGCTAACATCTGAATAGGTGCAGCCATGCAAGTAACGCACAGGTGAGGGCAATGGTGATTTTGATTTGTAAGTTGGGCTGAGATTGGCGCCAAGTCCTTGATGAGACTCTAAGAACTGTTGCTGTTTTTGCTGCTGTGTGGTGAGAGAGTCTGGACATTCAGTCAACAGATCTCCAACCCTCCAAGGACGAAAGCAGCCAATGTCTGAAGAATATTCTAGGCTCGGAGGAGGCTGTTGCCTATAAAGTGCTCGACTAATTTTGGGTTTTAAATGTCCACTTGATTCTGTGTTCACATACTGAGCTGACAGTTTATTTGGCCCTGCCATTTCTTGACCATTGTTTTGTGAGGTGGCACCAATCTTGGAGTCTTCGCTGATCTGGCTACCATTGTTATTGTTGTTGTTATTATTGTTTTTGTTATTGCCACTTACCAAGTTGTCACTCTGATCAGATCTCTGTTCCCTAACTCCTTCAGTTGGAACAGTGACTGTCAGAGTTGACCCAGAGAAGGCTGGACTGCTCACATGCTCCCCACCAGCCTTGCCCATATTTCCAAGCATGATGTTAGAGAGTGTTCACGTTGTAGGAGGAGGAGGGTGGTGCGGATGATGGTGTAAGGGTTCTGCCAAAATAATGCATGACATCAAGTAGTTTGTTAGTGAGCATGGTAACATCCCCTTCAGACTGATTTTAACATTTCTGTATGGGTTGAGGTGGTGGCTCAAGAGAAAGGAGTCATCTGTAAAATATCAAAAGTTAAATCAATCAAGAAATCTGTTTTTTTTTGTTTTTTAAATAAGAAATTGAAAATTAAAAAATATGAAAACTGCCAATTTCTTTTTTTGTACTTTATCTTTGTCTACACACTACTCTAGAGAATATCAATGAGGTAAAACTATTCATTAGTCTGATTAAAATATCAATAAGAAACAAATGCACACAAATCAAGCAAAACATTTATTATACAAATTCCTTTTTAAAATTCAAATACTTTTTCAAATTAAATTTTTTTTTAATGAATTCATCCCTAAACAAGGCAATAATGCCACTAAGATGCAAGGGACTACTGAGAGTGAAAGAGAATGAAAATACTTTGGAAGGGATGGGAACCCAATCATAAACAGAAAACAAGGGATAAACCTCTATTCCTGTTCAAAAGACTAAGGAGGTATTTGACCCTATCTACTTTTGTTGAGGGGGAAAAAAATGACAGAGTTTAGGTGGAGACATTGATATATGATCCTTTACAAGAAAACAATTGTATGAATTGTTAAGAAGGGCAGGAAAGTCATGCTGTACCAATCTTCTAATTGAAGAGATCCTGCTTGCCTGATTTAATCAGTAAGTAATTTTTTTTTAACTAACCTTACCCTGACTGGTGACCATGCATAACAAAAAGAAATCAACAAAATAGAAAGCATGATTATTAAAGAGACAAAGTTGACATTTGCAGTAGAACTGACTTCTACTTTTCTTCTTACTTTTATCAATTAATCACCATTTCTTAATATATAAATAAATAGGAAGAGTTTGCTTTTTTTCACTATACATGGCCAAATCCTTTTATGTACAGCTTTCATATACATGCTTATTGAATCCAGGGGAAAGTTTTAATGTAAATGACATTTTGTTCATCAAAGAAAAAAGCTAACTCTACTGATTTTCTGTTACACATAAATATCTTTTTATAGAAATAATTACTATTGGGAACTATTCATCCTATTTCTCTTATGATTAATATTCAACATCCCTGTTAACAAAATATACAGTTATAATAAGAAGCTTGTAAAATTTATCTTATGATACATACCTATAGCATTGTAACTCTTTTTTTAATTTCTCTTCAATATTTAGCTATCATTTTCAATTGATTCTTGTGCATTCAAATATATTTCATCATCATTATGCTCATTGAATTACTTAGTCTACCTATGCTATACCAAATTGATTACTCTGCTAAGTCCTTATAATTATTAGAAGGTTTTCACATGTAAGTTTGTAAATATAATTTCCCCAATTATTATTGTTCTACTTTGTTTTTCTTTTCAGAGTCAGTCTTTTACTTCCAGCTTTGTAAACATCTTGGAACTGAATTATTGTCATGAAAAAGACACCGACACAAAATTAGCACCTCCAGATCAAGGGAGATAACTTTAGTAAACCAAAAGTTACAGACATTAAAGACACAATATATACCATTAAGGGGACATGCACATAGCAATAGAGGGCATGTGTACATTTGGGCCTATGCCAAAAGTGGAACATACATGTGCAGGCCTATGCCAATAAGGAGGGGGGGCGCATTTACATGTATGCATATGGGGAGAGAGAGAGAGAGAGATGGATGGATGGATGAATCAATTGAACTTTTGAGCCAAAATGTTACACATAGATATAGCCGAGACATGTTTAGAAATGTTATACAGTAAAAAGCCAAATTTATTTTCTTAGCTAAAGAAAAGACACCAAACCAATGCAGGTTTTAAGCAAGTTGGAAGTTTCTTAAATGAATGTATTCTCTTTATCATGTTTTAGCATGATTTAACTTGTTAACCAGGAATCTGTCTCCAAGAAAGTACCTCCCCATTGCAGGATAATTTCAGGGGTACAATCTGATATTTGCAGTAAATATTGGTACAAGAAAAAAAATTACATCATTCTTTGCATCTGTAGGTATGCAAAATAAATACAATTTATTCAAATTTTGGTATTCATTTTTAATGAAACAATAACTGAGTTATTTAAATTTTCAATATCAAATCTATTGTGACCTCTGAGAATTTCTTGCTGTAAAAATCTGCATCGAAATGATAACTATTCTGTTTGACAAATGTCTTAAATATCTGAACACATTTTATAACAACTTGTATGTCAGTTTTAGAGGCACAAGATACTTTCATAGGATTTTTATTATAAACATAGATTTAGTTTCTGGTGCAAAATGGACATTTTTATATAGCATTAGTGTGATTTTTTGCATTGTTCAGCATACATTTATCTGCTAAAATCTGATGTAGTTAGGCATCAAGTTTTTGCACCACTCTCCCTATATACCAAACCTGTCCTATACTTATTATGACTTTTTCTAGGTCTTTGCTTCACATATATACCAGCAAGTATACACAAATGTGGACCAAATTGGAAATGCCTTCCGACAGATTGTCAACTACCATTTTATCGTGATGGAATATATTCACTGCAAGATCATTTTAAACAAGTGCCTTAACAGTGGATAAAGGCATTAGTTAGATCCAGTGACAGAACCCAAAGAGTTCAATACCTGGTTAAGGCAGTGGAGAACTTTCAAAGAGGAATTAATAGGAGATAACGGATAACTGACATCCATTAGACATGGCACGTGGAACTAGAACAGTCTACCCCAGTGAGCGAAATAAAGGGTTCAGTTTGACTGTACAACCACCAACCAGTACAATGGCCGAAACGTAATAAATATGGCAACAAAGATGAGGACAATAGTCCGAATAACGTAAATAGTGTACCAAGTCTTCTTCACTGCATTAATAACAGCTGGAAATTTTTCTTTGATTTTCACCTCATCATTGGTAAAACAACAATCATTTGTTTTAAAACATTTTTTTAATAGAGCAAATTCAAGAACTGATCCAAAATTGCTTACCTTAAATATAACTCAAAGTTAAAAGGTCAAATAAAGAGAAAAGCTGGCTACAGAAGTTCTTTGTATCAATCTGTAGAGGCTGCAAAAGAAGAAGGAATAAAAATTTGTTTAAAAATCTATAAAAAGATGAGAAAAATAATGACTATTTAATGTATAGTGTTAAAATATCAAAAGCAGATTAGTCTGAAGAAGTAATTAGTGCATTAACAAAATACTAATTTTAAATTTATTTACAGACATTATGTAGAAAGGAATGGAGAATATCTGTGGTAGTGTAAGTGTTACTCAAACAATCACAGGGGTTACTAAGAGAAATGTAGCCTTGTTTAACAAATATCTACAAACAAAAATTTCAATATTGGAGAAATAATGACGCAGGGTAATTTGAACTGAGTAACAGACATACAATAGATATGATAAATCCAACACACGGAGAGAAAAAACAAAGATGTAAATAAAATATTTTAAGAACTAGCTGAAGTATCCATTTACATTCGGTAAGAAATCTAGCTTGAAGCTAGTTATAATGACAATAAAACAATTCCTAAGTCCTGAAAAGTCATCCTACATTATGAAATGCATAACTAAAACTAAGAAATGTCTATTTTACAATCTTTGTTGTCAATTAAAAATTTTATATTGTTATCATTTACATTCATCAATATTAATTTTCATAAACACTGGTCACTTTTGGATCCCATAGTAGCCTAAAAGAAAAACAAAGTAAATTCCTGGGAAAACTGAAATGAAAAATATACTATGAAAAAGTTGAAAAATATTTTTGGGGAAAATTGCTTAGTGAAATTGCTTTTCCAAGGCAAACAAATATTTCTCTTAACTAGGCATTAATAATAAAAGAAATTATAGTCTTACACTGAATGGTTACAAATTATAATTGTTACTGTTGAGAATAAATAAATTAAGTCAGCATAGCACATGTGATTGCTGTAGATGAAATAAATTGGCTATGCATATTGAGTAGACAAACTCTTAATATCAAATTATAGATTTTCAGTTAGTATCTGTGATATTTCTAATCTATACATAAAAACCTACATTACTTAAAATCTATGTAGTCTCTGTGGTATCTGTAAATCTCAAGAGACCATAGGTTTGCATCTGGAGAGTGATATTCTTTGATTCATCTTGTGGTAGAGTAGTGCAGCATCTTTTGTATTAATCAAATGAAAGGTTTTATCTGATAGGTGCTACTTTCTGTCACCATGGTGAGGTGATGCTGAAGTGTCTTCTGCAGAATGAAGACCTGGGTAGGATTAGTACAATCTACTCCCTTGGATTAAATAAAGAAAGGTGTGGAGAACCATATTCATGTTCTTCCTGGGGGGACATGGAAGAAGAAAAAGAAGTTGTTTAGAAATGGAAGAGTTGTGAGTTCAATACCTGGACATAGCAGAGGGAACAAAAACTTGAGTTGATGGAAAGAGTTGAGTTACTAAAAGGAATTGTTCTAGCAGAATAATGCCCATACTACTTAACATGCTCTGCAAGATGTTTAAAACCTTCTCTAGCTGTCATGATTTGAAGACTAGTCTCCCATTAAATATGAATGGAACAATATCTGACCTGTTCAGGCAATCCACCTATAACTCATGTTGGACTGCATTAACAGGTACAAAATCATTAAATAATATATCACTAGATGGTATGCACCATCTGTACAATTGTGTA